AAAAAGAAATGCCTCCCAACAGAAGTAACAAAATTCGTCAGTTTGGTACCTTCTTTGACCTGGAGATTTTGATGAAATCTAGCAATATTCAGGTTGTAGAACGAGTTAACTCCTAGACGCATGTACAAAATATCACCTCGAGGTAATTCTTTTTTCTTTTGGGGTTGGGGGTGGGGAGTGCTTTTCCACTTTTCCTTTTTTGAAACCACTGGCACCAAGTGAGCCACTGGTGGATTTCTAAGCTTCTATTCTAGTCTCTACCTTTCCCTTTCCTTTCCCACCTCTTCCCCCAGCCTCACCTGTCAGCATGATGTTTAGCACACTCACTTCCTTGCATTCCCAACCTGGTAGCAGAGGTGGGAGGAGGAGCAACAATGCATGAAATTCCAAAGACTTGACCAAGAAAAGGTCCTGGAATAACGAGCGATTAAAACGAGGTAGCAAGAAATACAAAAGCCAGTTGCTTTCCTATCTACCCAAACCCACTGCCATCACTGATTCAGGACAGTGAGTTTATCTTGGGTCATACAGTAGAACTGCTCCTTAGGGTTTCCGAGACTCTAAATCTTTTCAGGTGCAGACAGACGCGTCTTTCTCTCGGTGAGCAGCTGGTGAGGTTTAATTGCCCATAACCACCAGGGCTCCTTCCTATATTCCAAAATCCAGCCAAACTCACCGCCATCCAGTGGATTCTGACTCAAAGCAACGCAACATAGCATTTCCAGGGCTACAAATCTTCAAGCCTTGAGTTGCAATATTGAAGGACTCTATGAGCAAATAGTAAATGATGCAGGAAGCATCAAAAGAAGATGGAAGGAATACATAGTCACTGTACCAGAAACAACTGGTTGGCATGCAACCATTAGTTCAAAAGGTAGCATACAATCCAGAACCAATGGCACTGAAGGCAGAAGTCCGAGCTGCATTGAAGGCCATTGGTGAAAGCGAAAACACTTCCAGGAATTGATGGAAGGCCAACTGCTGATGGAATATTCCAACAAGCCGAGGAAGCACTAGAAGGGCTCACTCACCTATGCCAAGTGGCTGCAACAATGCCCTCAAACATAAGAACACTTGTGAGGAGGGCACAGGGCTGGTCAGTGCTTCGCTCTGCTGTACGTAGGCTCTCTATGAGTTGGCACCGACGCGATGGCACCTAACAACGACATACAGTTTGTGTGCTGAGCAAATACTCTGAGGAGCAACTGGACTGTACAGAGAGGAATGCAGCCTCAGGACTGGAGGAAGACTCATTAACCACCTGTGATATGCAGATGACAAATCTTGCTCGCTGGGAGTGAAGAGGAAGCACTTACTGATAAAGATCAAAGACTATCTATATATGGCATTCAGTATGGATAACCCCTCAGCATAAAGAAAACAAAACACTTCACAACTGGACTACTGAGCAACATCAAGATAAACAGAGACAAGACTGAAGTTGGTAAATATTTCACTTTCCTTGGATCCATAATTAATGGCCACAGAAACAGCAGACAAGAAATGTAGTGAAGTCATGCCTTGGGCAAATCTGCTGTAAAGGCGTTTTTAAGATGCTTAAAAGCAAAAATGTCACCACTTTGGGGACTATGATACACCTGACCCAAGCCATGCTATTGTCTCATTTTTTATA